GTACCACTTCCCAGTGTCCATCCCTCCATACTCTCCTGCCCCCTAAGCTGTCTCCCTGTGCATAAGGTGCCCTTCCTTCTCCCATGATTGTTCTCTCAAGGGCATGTGTCCACTTGAGGTAAATGTTCAACTCACATACCTGTACTTTGCTTGAAAGCCGTACTTTTTGAACTCAAGTTTCAGATCCTATCAAGCAAGGAGAAACCTTTTCTAGGTTTCTGACAAAGACCCAGACTGTGAGAGGACACGTGTTTCCTTCAGAATTCACAGACCTGCACTTTGCTATATGGAGAGCGAACAGGAAAGTTGGGCTTGCTGCTGGGGCCACACTCTGGAGGAAGCACAGAGCCATGCTAGTTGAGTGGTTCTCAGCAAGAATGAGTTAGAGTCCATCCTGAATCTAATCTGTGCTCTGAATCAGCCTCTTGAAGAGGCTGCATTTGCAGACTATAATTTTACAGCATTTGTTCCCCAGAAAAGCCCAAGAATGAATTTTATTGTGGAAGACTTTTTCTGACTCAGCCATTTTATTCTTTTCTCCCACTTCTGCTCAAGAGACCCTCTGCACTGCTGCCACCAAGGACATTGTTAGCATATCCCACCTCGTTTGCTTGCATTACGGCAGTGGTATTGAGTTTGTCTCGTTCCCACGAGGTGCTGTCCTCGTGGCCTCGGGGCTGAATGCTGACGTTGGCTGTGGTGTGGAGCAATCGGCAGGCTTCTGGGGAACCTGTGGATTTGGTGCAGTGGAATCTGAAACTTCTCTACTCCCATAACTCATCAGCCAGCTGGTGAGGGAAAGGCAGTCATCTTCCAAGCTGGAGTCTAATTCCAGGGGGGATAATGGGATCAATTATGGAATAGGATTTGTCCGTCACAGGTAAGTGAGATAGCACACAGCAAGATGATTTCAAGAGCAAGGATTAGCACAGGAAGATGAGACTTCTGCCTCAGTCCACGAGCCAGGCTTGAGACCAGAGGGGCAGCAAAGAGACAAAGAGCTTTATTTGTTTATTCTAGAAAGCCCATCTCTTCTGTCTGAGAAGCCCTGTGTTTGGAAAAGTTTAAATCCTGTGAGTCTGCAATGTGAATACTGGGTTCCTGTGGTGATTCAGGCCCTCTCTAAGGAAGCCTTCTGCCCTGCCCCTCCCACAGGCCCCAGAAAGTGCAGTACCCTCATCTGTCAGGGAAGAGGTCTGATAGTCAGGGGCTGAGGGCTGAAATGGGGGTGAGCAGGCAGAGGCTGTCCTCTCCTGCTGTGAATCAGGTGGGTCTCAGGAACAGGGGAAAGATGAGATGGGACCCTGAGAGTTTCTGCCTTACCCCAGCCTGTTGGTGTTGCCTTCTCTAGAAGCTGAGGACAGCTAATGGGAGCAGAGGGGTGTGCCTTTAAATTTAGTCTTTAGCAACTATTTCTCTGAGAACCATGAATTTTGCTAAGGAATGGCTAACCTTATGCACAGTGGGCAGATAGTTCTAGGGAGAAAGGCAGTGTTCTATTAGATTGGGGCAGGAAGGTTGAACAGTGACCGAGAAAATGCCTGGATGCTTTCATCAGCCCTCCCAAAGGAAGAATTCAGTAGCCCAGCCCTGCTCTGCTTGGCCCAGTGTATCCCAGGGATACTTGGGAAGCAGGTAGAAAATGGCAATTAAAAAAAAAAAAAAAAAGGAGGTTTGAAGGGAGTGTCAGAGGAAATTAGTAATTGTTTTGTTGCCATGGAAAACCTTGGGGATGGTCGGACTTGGGCCAGAAGCTCAGAAGCACAGACGGAACTCAAAAAGTGGCTACACCTACTACTTGGCCTATAAGGGAAAAAAATACTTTGGGGACTGCATTGTTAGGGGGAAGAAACATCATTCCCTCAGCTAATTTAAATCACTTCCAAATTGTGAAAATGTTCATTTCCTTTACCAAGGCCAGCCGTACCTGCTACCACCCATGGTCAGGATAGCCAACCAGTGTAGGATGCTGTATAAATGTTATTACAAACTATTATTCATGTTCTACTTGTCCTAATCTATGTAAATAAAATATGTACTTTGAAAAAAATGCTACACAAGTTTCAAATGGGCAGAGATGTTACAGACCTGCTTCTCTCTTTGGTTCTGGGCAGTGGGCAGCTATCAGGGGGGGATGGGCTTGAAAGGTCTGGTTTCCTGGGGGCTATTGTGTGCCTACAGGCTGTGTTAGCATGGGGGAGGGGGTAGTTTCCTGCCAGGTGGCATCTCATTTCCTAAACCCTCTTTCCAAAGGAGCAGTGGGGGCCATGTTTCAGGGCATAAGCTTTGGAGTCTGACCAGGGTACATCCTAGCTATGGTGCTTTTAGCTGTGACCTTGAATAAGATACTTAGCCTCTCTGAGCTCCCTCCTCCCAGCTCCCATCTGTACAACAGGGAGAGTTATTGTCCTTAGCCCACAGAATTAAAGGCCTGGGCTTAATAAATTTAGTGTAGCAAATTGTGGCTGTTACGAATAAAGTCCTTCAGGTCCAGGTCTACCATTGCCTGCATTTCTAGCGCTAAAGAGAATGGTCATCCCAGCACCTTCGTGTGTTTCTTCTCCATGTCTTTGTATGTCACCTTTGTGTGTCATCTTTCTCTCCTGTCTCAATCCTTTCCCTGTAACACCCACCCCTTTTCATTTATCTGTTGAATCTCAACTGCTCCTAAAGCACAAAGTGCTGAGCAGATAACTCATAAAATAAGCAGAAACCTTTCCCAGTGAACAGCTGAAAATGTCACAGTGCTGGGAGCCAACAAGCAAACTCAAGAGGGAGACACACAGATCGCACATACATAATTTCTGCAGTGAGAACCCAGCGCCAAAAGCAAGGGGAGGCCCATCACATCATGCGGTTCTTGAAGCTGAGGTCAGCTCTGAGGCTGGGGTGGGGAGTCGTTCTCCCCACCGTGCTCACTTCTGGGACAGTCCTAAGGTAGCATGAGTTGACCCTTATCTAGAGCCTACAAGGGCCTTTGGGTAGGAATGTCTCTCTGCCTATGAGGTGTCTTTGGA